AAGATTCGGATCTCATAGTCAAATAAAAAAAATATCTTTGTGTTTGTGAAAGTTTTTTTGAAAAATTCGATGGGTACAACGATAAAAAATGTGGTAAACACATAATTTAAAAAAAAAAAAATTTGATTGGTGTTTCTGATATTTTGGTTGTATGAAAATAATTTCAATGATTTTCTATTAATTTAAATGCTTTATGTTTATTTTTATTTTTTTTAATTTTTTTTATTTACAGGTATGTATAGTTTCGTTATTCTTTAAATTTTATTTATTTATTCAATTTTATTTTTTATTTAATAAACTTAAATTTATTGAAATTTTATTTCTTTATTTAACAAGTTTATTTAAAAAACCAATTAAATTATTTAAACCAAAAATATAACCATCATCTTTTTGTGGTGGAGTAAGTTCATCGACATGAGCAAAATCGATCATTTTCATAGTTACACCCAAGCCAGTATTACCCAATGGAGTTATTGAAGTTGTAGGTTTAGAATTTACTGAATCGTGATCGATTGGACCATAAACAAATAAAAGTGAGCTACTATAGAATGCTAGTTTTTCGTTGTTTTTGAATACTTGCAAAAGTTTATTTAAAAGATTTAAAAACTCTTTAACTATTAGTTGGTTTTCACTCTCGCTTCTTTCTGGATTTGTAAAAAACTTCTTTATACCCTCTTCAAAAATATTATTAGGGCTTAATTTCTTTCCCCAAACCTTTGAAAGCTTTTCTTTTTTGCCACTTGGGCCAACTACTTTAGCACCGCAAAATCTAATACCCAATGGTTTGGTTGTTGTTTTGCTCGATTTCTCTTGTTCCAATCTAATCTTTTCAGCAGATGCAGAGCTATCATAGGTTTGAGTGCCCATTTTAATATCAGCAACATTAACAAAATCACTTTTATAACCATATGTCAAATCCTCAAGACCCATATATGCTATAAATAATTTGAATGTAAGTATTAGTTTATTATTTTTATTAATATTATATTATTTCAATAACCTACGAATATCTTTAACCATTTCTACTCTTATAAATTTTGGTAAAAACTCTAATAATGATTGGTCAACACTATCAATCGATTTATAAAAGTCCAATTCTCTACCACCTCTTGTTGATGGAACTGGTTTGAATACAAATCCTTCTTCTGATTTTAAAAATGGTGGAATATTTTCAGAGCCACCATCCTCTTCGGTGTGTCCTGCAATTTGATCATCTAAAACTCTTAGTTGTGACTAGTAAATATAAAATAGTATTAATATAAATTAACTATAGTTTTGCTACTATTATCTTTTTATATTACCATTTTAAGTATAGTATAATTATTTGTGTGTTAAATTAAAATTAATTTGAAAAAAAAATTGTAAAAAATTCTAAAAAAATAATTTAAAAATAAATTTTATTTTTTTTTTTTTTTTTGAAAATAAAATTAATTTTCTTTGTTCAAAGTAATAATTGCAATTATATTAAAATAATCTTTTTTTTTTTTTTTTTTTTTTAATTAAAATTATTATATCATTTATTTTATATTTTTTTTTTTTTTAAAATTTTTTTATTATTAATTTTATTATTATTTCTATTAAATAGATAATTAAATATTTAATAAAAAATAATGATTGGGTTATGACTATTATGTTGTTACAATTGATTTTTTTTTTCTTTTTTTTTTTTTTTTTTTTTTTTTTTTTTTTTTTTTTCCCCCTTTTTTTTTTTCCCTGGGGTTTAATTAAATAATTGATCAATGCTATCTAAAATTAATTGAACTACTTGATTTACATATTGAGCATCGGCAACTACATTTAATACATTTCCATCTTTTTCTTTTAATAAATTTGGTGCAAAAACAATTGATAAATTTACAGAGTTCATTTTATTTACACCGGCGTTTTCTATAACCTTTGCTAAAAATTTGAATAAATGTTTAGCAAGGGCTTTGTTTGCTGGTGGTAATAATGATAATAAAAGTTTTAAACTTTCGACTTTTTGTGGTTTAGTTTGGTCACCCTCTATAAAAATGGAGTATAATAAAAAATTAGTATTATTAACACAATAATATAAAAATAATTATTTAAAAACTTACTTGAAATTTCAATGAATGATGAATAAGTATCGAATGGGAATAATGGTGAAGGTAATTCTCTTAAATAAAGCTTTAATAAACCTGCAACAGTATGGACATCTTCTACATCTTCAAGATCAACATCTTCACCTTGATCGAAACCTTGTCTAAGTGATTTAATTTGACTATTTGCACCAGAGAGACGGAAAAGACCCTCTACTTTAAGACCTCTCCTTGTAAGATAAGAAATACCCTTTTCAAAAAGTACAGGGATTTCACCTGGATTATCTGGTCTATTAATAACATCTTCGAGAGGTGCTCCGAAAATTGGTTGTGATTTTCTGCCAGCTGGTCTATACATCATAATTGAGGTTGGTAAACTTAATTGCTCTCTTGAGAAAACTCTGAAGAGATCAGAGAGATCATCGATATAAGTTAACTTTCTCCAAAACTTGCTACTGAGGAAATGTTTAAAGAGACCTAATGTAAATTTGATCCATGTAGTTGGGTGTACAATATAGAGTCCTTTGAGATTCTTTTTATATTTTCTATTAAATATGGTATATACTTTTTTCATCCATGCAAATGATGGCTTATTGGAGTTGTTCATATTGGTGTGAACATAGACAAGAACGTATTCCTCCTCTACGACTGGATCCATAATAGATATGGTATATAACAAAACTCTTTCCATATCAGTCTCCTTAACTGGTAAGTGAGATGCAACAATTACAATAATGGTTCTACCTAAATTATCTTTGCCTGCTGGATAAATAAAGTTTAATTGTTCGATATCTGGGAATTGTTGATTTCTAGCTTTATTCAAGTATTCTGTATATTCAACTTCAGCTTTGGTAAGTCTTTGGCCACCAGTACTATTGTTGGGGTTATTTTGTTGTCTTGATAATGGTGAGGCTTTGAGGATAGAGTTGAATAAGCCACCAACACCACCAGATGTTTGTGGGGGGTTTTGTTCAACAATTGGTGCCTTTTCCATAGTTTGCAAAAGATCTTCATTATTCTTTTTCCATTGTGGGATTGAAGCTGGATCAATTGTGTGATATTGTGGTTTTGGTCTACTAACATTGGCTAAATCTAGTGATGAAATTCTTGATGCAGTTTCATCGATATCATCAATTTGACTTGGTTGATGTGTACCAATGACAATTGCTTTTCTAAGGGTACCTCTTCTTGATGAGCCATCTTCATTTGTATCGGTAGTAGTGGTTGATGGGGTGGAAGTAGTTTGAACTGAACTTAACTCCTCTTGATTTAAATAATCTGTAATTAAACCACTCTTCTTTTTACTGTTTATGGTATTTTTTTTGGAAAGTGACATAACTGATGACCAAGATGGAGCTGGTGAGCCTGAAAACTCCTCATCATCTTCATCATTATTGTTATTATTATTACTGTTATTTTCTGAACCTGTATTTGATTCAATTGATTGTCTTTGAGATCTATCATTACCAATTTTGAATTCTCTGATTGGGCGAATTGGTTTATTTTCTGTAATCATGTGTGATGGAATCATTGTTGCTGCTCTATTTGCTCTTGGTCTTGAAATTGGTACTGGATCTAAATCAAATTCATCAACATTATTTCTATTATTATTATTGGTAGTTAAAGGATCTATAATTTTTTCATCTACTGGTGGGGGTTGTTGAACTCTGACTCTTGAACCAAATGTAACTTTTCTTGTTGGTGTTGTGCCTGTTGCTCCGTTACTGCTACTGCTACCACTATTAACACTATTGCTATTATTATTATTAATATCCTCATATGACATATTTTCAATATTTACACCTGCTGGTAGTTTAAAACTTCCTCTTTTAAATGACTTGTCCTCCATTATTATTGTATTCTACTATTATTACTATTGTAATTTTATTATTATTATAACTAGAATGCTTTATTTTAATATTTTTTTCTTTTAATTTTTTTTTTTGAAATAATGAAAAAAAATAAAATAAAAAATAAAAATTAAAGATGTTTAGTTTAAAATTTTATTTTTGTTATTATTATATACACGTTTTATTTATGTTTTTATTAATAAATAAATATTTTATTTTTTTTTTTAAAATTTTTATTTTTTTTTTTATATTTTAATTATTTTATAATCGAGTGGGGGATAGGTGTGAATGTTTAGTTAATGTGAAAGATATGTGTGTATATGTGGTGAAATAAATAAATAAATTTTTTTGAACAAAATATTTAATAATATCTTTATTACTGTATTATTATTATATTTTTATGCTCTATAAAAAAATAGAAAAAAAAAAAAAAAAAAAGATTTTTTTATTTTTTTTTTTATTTTTTTTTAAAATTATTTTCAAATAATTTATTTCAATTTTCCTTTTTTTTTAAAAAAAAAAAAAAATTGATTTGTTGTGGAGTGTCTTGTTTGTATTTATAATTGGAGTGAAAAAAAAAAAAAAAAACAAATAAAAAGGAAACCTTTGGTTTAACTTGGATGAAAAAATAAAAAATGAATAAAATTAAAAAAGGGAAAAAAATTAAAAATGGATAAAAATAAAAAAAAAAGATTGTTTTATTTATTTTTTTTAGTAAATATTTAAACTAAATGATAAAAAAAATTGGTTTTTGAGTTAAATAATAAAACTCTGTTTCCTATTTAATTTTTTTAATGTTAATATATAAATAAATAATAAAAATGGAAAGTTCATAACAATTTTTTTTTTTTCGCTTTAGTGCTTTGAAAAATTTTTTTTTTAAATATATTTTTTTAAAAAAAAAAAAATAATTTTTTTAATTTTTTTTCATTTTTTTTTTTTTTTTAAAATTTTTTTAAATTTTTTTTTGAATATCATTGGTTCTATCTATTTATTATTTAATACACGATTATATTTAAACTTTTTTTAATTTAAATCAAGGTGTAATAAAACTAATAAAAATAAAATACGCAGATTTATTAGGAAAATAGAAATCAATTCATTCAGTATCCGAAACAAAAAAAAATAATATATAAATAATACAAAATGAATTCACCAGTATACGTTTTAAACACTGCTGCTAAGCGTGAAAATCAAAGAGAAGCCCAACAAGGTATTTTCCTTGCTGTTAAGGTAAATCAATAGATAATTCACATCACTACATACTTCAATCAGTTTTTAAAATCAAAATCAAAGTCAAATCAAAATTAAAACTAAAATCAAAATCAGAACCAAAAATTGAATCATAATCATATAATCATATAATCATAGCTTTTACATAATCTGGATAACATAATCATATATAATGAAAACCAAAATCAAAATCAAACCAAACTAATTAGACAAATAATAATTTAAAATATCCTAATATTAATTTTTTTTTTTATAGGCAATTTCAAGTATTATTAAAACTTGTTTAGGTCCAAAAGCAATGTTAAAGATGATTTTAGATCCAATGGGTACTACAATTTGTACTAACGATGGTAATGCAATTTTAAGAGAAATTGATGTAACTCACCCAGCAGCAAAAAGTATGATCGAACTTAGCAGAGCTCAAGATGAAAATGTTGGTGATGGTACAACTTCAGTAGTTATTTTAGCATCAGAAATTTTAAATAGTTCAGAACAATTTTTAGAGAAAAAAATTCACCCACACTATATTATTAAAGCTTTTCGTATGGCATTAGATAACGCCATCGATATTGTTGATCAATATTCTGTTCCAATCGATTTAAATAAAAAGGATGAAGTTCTCAAGGTTATTCAATCATGTATTGGTACAAAATTCATTGGTAAATGGGGTAGTTTAATGTGTAACCTCGCTTTAGATGCCGTTTTAACTGTTCATATTCAAGACGAAGATGGTCGTAGTGAAATCGATATCAAAAGATATGCCAAAGTAGAAAAGATTCCAGGTGGTGATATTTCAGATTGCAGAGTTATTAAAGGTGTTATGTTAAATAAAGATGTAACTCATCCAAAGATGAGACGTGTTATCAAGAACCCAAGAATCATTTTATTAGATTGTTCACTCGAATACAAGAAAGGTGAATCCGATACCATGGTCGATATTACCAACGAAGATGACTTTGCTGCTCTCTTAAAGATCGAAGAAGAATATGTTCAACGTATTTGCGAAGATATTATCAAATTAAAACCAGATCTTGTTTTCACTGAAAAAGGTGTCTCTGATCTTGCTCAACACTTTTTCGTTAAAAAAGGTATCACCTGTCTCCGTCGTCTTAAAAAGAGTGAAAATAATCGTATTGCTCGTATCTCTGGTGCAACTATTGTTTCTAGAACTGATGAACTTCAAGAATCAGATGTTGGTACTGGTTGTGGTCTCTTTGAAATCCGTAAGATTGGTGATGAATACTTTACTTTCTTAGAAGAATGCAAAGAACCAAAAGCCTGTACTATTCTCTTAAGAGGTGCAAGCAAAGATATTTTAAATGAAATCGAAAGAAATCTTACCGATGCTCTTAATGTTGCCAGAAATATTGTTTTAGATCCACGTCTTGTCCCAGGTGGTGGTGCTATCGAAATGGCCGTCTCACAAGCTCTTTCAGAAAAATCAAAATCAATTGAAGGTCTCTACCAATTACCATATAAAGCTCTCGCTCAATCACTCGAAGTCATTCCAAGAATCCTCGGTCAAAATTGTGGTGCCAACACTGTCAAACTCTTAACCGAATTAAGAGCTAAACATGCTTCAAATCCAACTGAAAACTATACTTTTGGTATCGATGGTGATAAAGGTACTATTGTTGATATGAAAGATTTAGGTGTTTGGGATACTCATTCAGTTAAAATTCAAACTCTCAAAACTTCAATCGAAAACGCTTGTACACTTCTTAGAGTAGATCACATTTCATCAACTTCAAATATTTAAATTTACAATTTTTTTCTAAATTTAAATTTTTAGAAAAAAAAAAAAAAAAAAAAATAAAAAAACAATAAAAAATAAAAAAATATAATATATATACAAAAAAAAATTACAAAAAAAAACATCGGTGATTATAAAGCTACAATTAATTATTATTTTTTAAATCAATTATTTGAAAAAATTTTATTTTTTATTTTTTATAAAATTTTTTTTTATTTTTTTTTAAATTTAAAATTATATTTTAAATTTAATATATTTCAAATTACAACTATACATATAAATAAATGACACCTAATAATGACTTTTTTAAAATATATAGAAATTCATATTTAAAATCTTTAATTCATAAAGAACTAAGGATTTATAATATAGTGAATCAATACACTAAAAAATATGAAAATGGATTTAATAATATAACATTGGAGTCGTTTAAATTCAAACAATATATAGTGACAATGCATTATAAAAGAGTATCGAGAATCAATTGTCCAATATTTTGGGATAGTATAACAGGTGATCAATTAATAGAGTCAATGTCAAATTTTAATAATAAAAAGAATATTATTAATAATCATTTTAATTATGATCTATTCGATAATCAAGATAACAGCGAAGATTACCAAGTATATGAAGAGCCAAATTTAAACGATTCATCTTTAGTAATTTGTGAAGAACCTATCAAAAGAAATTTAATTCCAAATAGTGTTCAGTATTTAATAATTCATTTAAACCAGGATATAAACGAAACTCAGGTTATACCAAGTTCAGTAACAGATCTTCGATTCGGTAATTATTTTGATTCAAATATAGTCGAAATACCAAATAATGTCAAGAAGTTAACTTTTGGGTGCTATTACCAACACTATTTAACCAGTGGTATGCTACCGGAATCTATAAAAGAGTTATACCTTCCTCTAATCACTAGAAAATTACAACCAAATGTATTTCCTCATGGCCTAGAGTCTTTAGAGTTTGCATATAGTTACAAGAATCAGGTTCCAAGTGAAGAGGAAAAACAAATTTTACCAAAAACTTTAAAAAACTTAACAATATATAATCATGATGCCCATATCACAGAATATTTAATACCCAAATCAGTTCAAATATTCAAATATTATCAATCAAATCCCTCTTATACAATTTCACCCAGTTTTTTTCCAAACTCTGTTAAAGTTTTATATATAGATCAACCATTTTATAACTTTATTCCTCCATCGGTTGAAACTTTGGGTATAATGTTTAAAGAAGAAAGTATAGATAGGTTTTTAAAATTTCTAAACAATTCAAATAATATTAAAAATTTAATATTTTGTAAATCATCCATAGAAATATTTGAACAATATCATAATAATAAAATTAAATTCCCAAATAATATAATAGATGTAAAATTTAAATAAAATAAAATGTAATGATAGTTTTTAAATAATGGTTTAAATAAATAAATAAATATTATATTTTATTTTTATTTTCATAAATAATATATTGTTTTTTTTTTTATTAATATTTTATATTATACTTTAATTACTCTTCATCTTCTGGTAAAGATTCGTAAAGTTCTTCTACTATTTCTAAAATTTTTAAAAATGATGGTCTGTCTTTTGGATTTGTTTTTGTACATTCAACGGTTAGCTTTGCAAACTCTTGAGGACAATCTGCTGGTACCTTCTTTAAGAAAGCTTGTGCATCAAATGCAAATGCCCTTTGTGGATATCTTTCATCTGGGATCTTTTCTGTAATTATTTCTACCAAAACAATACCATAAGAGAATACGTCAATTTTGTAATCGTAATTTTCACCCATTGAAATCTCCGGTGCCATCCATCTGTCAGAACCTACACATGTTAGACGTTTATTGATTCTATCATCGAAAACTCTTGCTAAACCCAAATCACAAAGCTTTGCTCTTTTGCTGGAATTTAATAATACATTTTGACTTTTAAGATCTCTATGAAGAATACCCCTTGCTTGTAAATATCTGCATGATTGTGCTAAATCAAGAGCGATTCTTAATTTTTCTTTCCAAGACAATGGAACATCGCCAAAAATTAGGGCATCAAATAAATCGCCACCATCCATAAACTCTGTTATAATATGAATTTCATTATCAGTATTACGCGATACTCCCAAAAATTGAACGATTTGTGGATGTCTTATTTCTTTTAATATTTGAATCTCTCTTTCTACCAATCCATTGGTTTCGTCATTGTTTTCGAGTAATCCTATAATAATAATGAAATTAATAATTAAAATTAAAGCATGTAAGATTTTTTAATATTAAATACAAACTTTTAATTGCAACTGGGGTACCTAACCATTTTCCTACAGATACTACACCATATTTTCCGCTACCAATTTCATTTTCGAATAAAAGTTCACCAAAATCAATATTCCATGTTTCGTTAAATTCATTTCTTGGTGATGGTTGTACCTTATTATTTTGAATTGGTTGTGGTGGAATATTTATATTGGTTGGTTTTTGTAATGGTTGTGGTTTTTGAACAAGTGGAGGTGGTGTTTGAATACTTGGTTGTTGTGGTGGTTGCTTTTGTTGTAGTGGTGGTGGCTGTTGTGGTTGTTGGGTGGTTTGTTGTAGTGGTGGTGGTTGCTGTTGAACATTTGGTTGTCTTTTTGGGACGATTGGTGGTGGTTGTTGTACAGATGTTGGTTTTAATTGTGTAGAGGAAATTTGATCATTTTGTGTATTATTTACAGTTGGTGGTTCAAAATTTGGTATACCGGGTCTTGAACCATTCATTGCTGGTTTTTTACCAATATCATTAGAAGCAGATGCGGCTTCAAAGAATGCGCGTGATGGAAGAGTTGAGTATTTTGGGGAACTACTTTTAGCTGGGAGTTTGAAGTTACCAAATCTTGGACCAGGGTCTTCTGATTGGACAGTTGGTTTTGGTGGTTGTTTTAAAGGTATTGCTTGTTGTTGTTGTTGTTGCTGGATAGGTTGTATATTTGATCTAGCTGGTGCACCAGAGGCAGAGTTGCTGGCACCACTGGCAATTGTATTATGAATTATTTCAAGTTCGTTGCCCTTTTTCCAATTTTTTCTTGAACCAAAATTAACATAATATCCATTTGAATTGTTTCCTTTTTCTACTACCCCTATTTGTCCTGTACCAATTTCTCTTACTTTCATACCAATATTCATTTTTTTTTTTTTTTTTTTTTACAAATAACTATTACAAATTAAATTAAAAATACACACATATAATTTATTAAAAAAAATATTTACAAAAATTAATATACAAAATAAATATAAATAAATAATTTTACAAACAAATATATTAATATTATCAAGAAGATTATTAAAAAAATAAATTAAAAAAAAAAAAAAAAATAAATATGATTTAAAAAATTCTAAAAAAATAAAAAATTATTTTTATTAATTTTAAATTATTATAAAAAAATTTTAAAAAAAAAAAAATGTAAAATATCTTTTTTTTTTTACCCATCAAATATTTTTGTTATTGAAAAAAAATGGGTAAAAAAGAAATATATACAGAAAAGTATTTTCTTGAATTGATTTTGAAAGGGGTCTCATAATTTTGAATTTACTTAAATAAATATTTAAAATACTGTTGGAAATATTCCAACATATAAATTTAATTTTAAATTATTGGTGATAAAAAAAATTGGAATAATGAAGAATTTTTACAACAAGCAAAGGCAAAAAATAATCCAAAGAATTAAATAATGATCAAAAGGGAAAAAACATCATAATGCAAATACCTGTTTTTAAAAGAACGAAGAATGAAATTTTAAGATATTGAAAATGGACTCTTCAAGAAATAATAACAACCATTATTTTCAAATTATAATGTTAAAGTTCCACTTCAAATAACATTATTCTCAGTTTCACCAATTATCATTAGCTTATTCACTTAAAAATTTATAGAAAAAATTATCTCTTTTTTTTTTATAAAAAAATTATCTTTTCAAAAAATTATTCATTTTTATCCATTTTTAAAATTTGCAAACTGATGTAAAATAACAGCACAAACACACTCATCATAATTTATTAAAAAAAAATTATAAATTTAAATAATAGTGGTGATCCTAAATTTTTTTTTTTTTTATAATAAATTAAACATATATCCTTTAAGTATAAGAATTATAAACTATATTATTATAATTAATTTAATAAAATATAGTGTAAAAGGAATAAAGTATGAATTTCGATGTTACATCACCATTAATCTAAAAATATAATATATTAAAAACCTCAACCAATACAATAATTATTGTTTTTTTTTTTAATCTTTCGTTTTTTTTTTTTTCATTCTGAATAATATTAATAATAAAAACCTTATATATTTTCAATTTTATTTAAAAAAAACATAAAAAATGCACAAATTTTTTTTTTTTTTTAATTTTATTAATTATCCTTTTTTAATGATTCCAATAGAGTAAATTAACAGAAGTTTTATTAATATTGGCCCTATAATAATCTGGTTTACAATCATTACTATAGTAAGGGTTGATAATATTTATTTCTTTTGGTTTATAATCTCTTGTTTTGAAATTAATTCTTTTGCTTGCACAGGTTTCAAAATTGGTCCAAATTGATATTGAATAGACGTCATAATTGTATTGTGGGTCACTTAATATTTGTAATGAGGTTTGAGATCTTCTAAATTTGAAATGTTTAGCATTATATTTCTATTTTGACTAAAAAAAAAAAAAAAAAAAAATTTATTTAAAAAATTAAAAAAAAAATAATATTAAAATTAAAATATTAAAATCATTGAGTTTTAGAAATTTCACAATGGTTTTTTAAGTTATATGGAATCATAATACTATTAAAACTATATTTTTAAAATTGGTCTTTTTAATTGGCCTCTTTAAAAATAATAAATGATAGATTACTTTTTTTATATTTATTATTTTAAATGTACAAAATTAAGGGCTTTTAAAATAAAATATAAAAAAAATAATTAAAGAAATACAATATATAACAAAAATCATAATGAAAATTCTTTTAGTAAAAATAAATAAATTGACTAATAATAAATTAAAATAATACTTTTTAAAAAAAATGAAATTTTCGTTTCTATCTTTACAGTGACCAATTAAATACAATCAGAAATGCTCAAAAAAAAAAGTTAATTATTATAATTTAAATAGAAGTGTAGAAAAAAATAAATTAAAAACTATATTAATTTTTCTATAGGTTAAAATAACTATA